TACATCCAAAGCATTGCCTCTATAACTTACGTCTAGAGCATCATCTCTACTACTAGTACATCCAGGTCATCGCCTTCGCTACTTACACATCCAGAGCATAGCCCCTGTTACTTATGTCCAGAGCATCGCCTCTACTACTTATATATCTAGAGTATCGCCTCTGTTACTTATATGTCCAGAGCACCACTTCGCAACTTATATCTAGAGCATCACCTCTGCTACTTAAGTCCAGACCATCGGCTCTTCTATTTAAAGCATCACCTTGCATCAGCTTTTACAATTGCTTATATATTCAATATCATCTCTACATCAACTTCATCACAGTGGTTTATATTTTAAGTCTGACCGCATATGAATAATCGACTCAAACTTTGGGGACTATTATTGTGACACTAGTATCTTAGTATCATTATGAGCGTGTTTGATTGACATGAAAAATATCACATAAAAAAGAAAATATTTTCCTTATTTTGAAGAAAACAAAAACCTACTCCTCCAAAGAAAATATTTTCCTTAAAAATAAGGAAAATTAGAGATATTTTCAAAAGTTGAAAAATATTTTCAATGGTAAAAAATAATAATAATCAAACACTCCAAAGTAAGAATTTGGGTGGAAAATGATATTTTTCATGAAAAATAAATACAATCAAACACGCCCTACATTATTATTATTAGTATATGCATTATATTATTGTTGCCAAATACGCATGCCACATCATTGCTAATATGTCATAACACTATTTTTACTAGTGCTAGTACGTATGTCACATTATTTACACTATGTTACTTCACTATAGCAATACTGTTAAGCTAAGTTGTACAAGTATATGACTTGCTATAATACATGATAGACTTTCTGCATATTATATTTTGGAGAAATTTGACACGTTATTATTCAATTTAACATCATAAAAGTTTGAGAAGCAAATGGACTCCAGTTAGTTATTTCATATATGTGCAGTGGATATATTATGTTGTATTGTGGGTTGGTTTAGTCCGCATTAAAGAGGAGATGATACCGAAATTTCGTCAAATTATATGCATAATCTATCTTTTGAGGTAATTTATAAGTCCTCGCTTATTCAGGCTTGTATACATTTTTTGTGAGGCAATTCGTAAGTCCTCACTCATCTAGGATCGATGCAGATTTTCGTTGCAGTCCATAAGCCATCATTTATTGGAGCTACTCATATTTTTGAGATAACCTGTAAGACCTCGCATACTTGACAGTTTATGCCCCTGTTTGGCCCCCTTTCTTCCAAATTTTAATGTTTGAAATAGTTTTTTGGAGAATGTGTGATTGAGAAAAGAAAGAAAAGTTTTATATTTACGTGTAATATTATTTTATGAAAGATTGTGTGGTTGAAAATAAGAGGAAGAAGAAAAATTGAAAGAAAAAGGGGGATGAATGGGTTATATATTTCAAGTCTGATCCACATATAAATATACGACTCAGACTTGTGGAACTGTTGTTACACCTATAAATTGCGTGGTATCGATTATTCAATCGACTAAACCTATTTAATTAAATAATAGCATCTTGGGATTGGATTGGCTTATTTAATCAAGTAACATCATATGGCTTGGATATCGATCCATCGTGTATACTTGGCCCATTTATATTTTCCTATATATATGCGAGTTTCATTTACAATCAAAGGTATGTTATTTTAACCCTAGCCAAACTCCTCTCCCATCTTTTGTGCTCATTTTTCTTTCGTTTGCGTTGACTTGACCGTAGAATGCAAAGGGTAGTCAGATATTTTTCTCGATCGACGACATTTGCCTTTTAACGAGGTGTTCAGTGTGCAAGTGATATCTATGCGGAGGGAGCGATGTCACGATTCTATTGTCAAATTTTTTGGGGTCAACACTGACCTCAACAAAGTAACAATAATCCGTTCTTAAGAGAGACATGGGTTACAACCATTGGATTTTGCTATACATACACACGTCCCTCACAAAAGGGAGCTCACGCATTTTTTATTGGGCATGGGCTCCTCTGTCTTGTGAGGGGTGCGTACATTAGTGTGTCAATGCCAGTGTATGAAAAACACAATTTTACAACCATTTCAACATTGTTAATTTCCCAAATTTGATTACGTTGTTCAATTTGCTTACAATCCAACAAATCCACCTAACCCAACGAACCACGATCACAACCAAACCTACCGTACCTATGCCACCCAACATCTTCTTGCTCAAAGATTCATGAAACAATTGCTTCTCTCAGTGCCCCCCATATGCAAATTTAAGTCCAAAACGGACTACCAACATTTTTTTCCTCCTTTTGACTTCTGCATCCCAACAGAAGGAGGGGAACACATACACTAATGCAAGTCTTTTATAAATTTTTGTTTTTCAAGTGTCCACGTTTTGGTTTGAAATGTTTTCTTCATTTGGGGATTGAAGATTTTATTTTGAATTTGGAATTTGTGGGTTTTGTTTTAAGGGTTTTGTGATGAGAATCATGAACTTTGGATTCACGGTGCTTGTCCTTTTCTCGAGCATTGATGTAGAGTGAAATTGGAGTGTGAGGGTTTAAGAAATAACGTAGAGTTTTTATTTAAAAGATTAATGTGAATAAAGAGATGATTAAGAGGCGACAATGGAGAATTGGCGGTGTGGAGGTGCGTAGGGTTGATAGATTTGGTTTGGTAGTGGTTGGGTAAAGTTGAGAATAAGGAATAAGTACTTCTTTTATTATTTCTCTTTTCTTTCTTTTATTTAATTTTTTTAATTATTTATAAAGTTATAATTTGTTCTTTTTAAATTGATCAAATTAAAGTTAGACGTAGGGGTGGACAAAATGTCTAAATCAAACTAAACCAGACTAGAACCAAATCAAACCAAGCGGTTTGATTCGATTCTATCAAAAAAATTAATGGTTTGGTTCTTTGAACCGAGAACCATTTGGTTTTGGTTCTGATTTAGTTCTAGTTCAAAAATTAAAATCAAAACCAGAACCAAACTTAATATTTAATTTTATATATAATAATTAGTGGGGATCCTAATTTTATATTCATTGGAGATAGCCCATTGATTGAATACAGTTTATTAATCAATTTTGGGTCATTAGAGATAAACAACTTATTAGTTGTCTACATTCTAATTTTGTATTCAATTGAATTATTTCTCCTTTACTCATTTTCAATTTACACAACATCGCAGTATACTGATACATCATTTCATCAAGTCAGTGGAGTGTCATTTAAGATCGAAAAACGAAATTGGTTAGTTATTTAAAAAGTCTCTAAACTCTTTTTTTACCTTGATTGTGTTGATGAGTTATTTGTGTTCTTCACTAATAGAGGAAAACCCAATAAATATTCACGAAATATTAAAGGATTAATGTTGCCTGTAGAAATGGGCTATAAAAATTTTGATAATTTATTCTTTATTGTAGGGTGTGCCTTCAAAACTACTGCAATTAATTTAATGAATCACTGCTATTACTTATTAAATAATTTTTTGTATAAAAACGAAAACTGATTGGTGTATTCAAATTATGAATATATTTTGTTTGTTAGTTGTGATTTTTTTGATTTCGATGATTGAAATTTGAACTTCCTAAATGTTTGATGTTTGAATTCTTATTTAGGTATGCATTACTAATTTATATGATGCAAATATAAAAATTTGAGAAATGAAATTAGAACCAAACCAAACCAGAACCAAACGGTTCGATTCAGTTTGGTTTCATATTTTAAAAAAAAAATCATTTGGTTCCATTATAAAAAAAAACCGTTGGTTCATGGTTTGGTTCGATTCTCTTAGAACCAGAACCATATGGAATCATGTCCACTCCTAGTTAGACGTTTGACTTTTGGTCAATTAATAGGTTTTTGGATGAAAACCATCCGAAGATCCTTCCGTTGCACAAGTTTAAAAATATTTAGGACCAACTTTGTTATAAATCAAAGGTATATGTAAAACTTGCAATAATTCGGAAGGTTTGGGATCACAACTATAATTATAACTTCTTCTTTTTAGCTTATTCTTGTTGATTTTGCATATTGTACTTATAATTATTATTCAGTTCTCTTGCAAGAACATATTCAATAATAGATTTTTATACACAGATACATTTGGCAATTATCAATTAACAGTTAAACAAAAAATGTTAAGTCAGTATCATTGAACCAATTCAAACAGCATTATTCTACTTGTTATCATGCTCCGTGAAAAATTCTACCTAGTGTGTTTATAAGCCATCAAATATTATGTGTTGTGTACTTATAAGACTTTGGACCCATTCACTTGTCAAGTTTCAAAGGTAAGTTTAAGTCAATTACTAGTATACCTTTGCAACTTCTTACTTGTAATTTAAGGTTGCATCAGTATTAAGAATGTAAACATCTTCAAATTTTAATTTCAGTACATGCACGTAGAACTCAGTTGCATCTCGAAATAGGAAAATGAGCCATTCAAATAAAGGATATTACACTGATCCAAGAAGCATAACGCCAAGTTATTGACCATAAATACAGTACAATAATACAATTATTGACCATAGTTTTTTAAAATTCAATTTCCTCAAACTTATTTTCAATCATACGTTTAATGAACTCACAACTTTTATCAACTTTTCAACCATACGCTTCAATAACATTTTTTAAAAATCTATTAAAAATCTTATGTTTATCGAATGAGGGAGCCCGCTTTGGAATATCGACTTGCCCAAAAGGTCTATGTATATACAATAATTTTGCTCCAAATGCCACTGAAACTTCCAACAGAAAGTGTTGATCGTTTCCATTTGGTTATCTTGTTATTTAAATTAAAGTCATCTAATGCAAGGATTTGTGATGTACAATTTTCTATTAATGTTAAAATTCGCCATCCTTTTTTATTTTTTTTATGTGTCTTCTTCATCCATCAAAATAACAAATTATCAAGCAATATAGATATATGCAAGTATTGTTGAATTTTTAAAATCAAAATACATATTCAAGCTAAGAAAAGAAAAGAAAATTAAAAAAAATACAGAAAGGGTGAAACAGAAAAAGCCAGCAGCATGACTAAGTCCTACAAGATCCTCTAAGCAAGTAACAACCTTTATGATATGCTTTCAATATTTGAGAAATGGTAAACCAAAATGAATATTATGCATTCTTGTTATAACTGAAAATCTGACTTCAGAACTCAGTATAAAAATAGAAAGACTGGTGCATGGACAGTACATGCAAAATTGTTCTAGCTGCTTCTTCCTTTGAATTCTTCATGGCTAAATCATATTTCTTGCACCAGTCACCACCAGCAATTGCTGAAATGCTGCTGCTTCTTATCTCAGCATTTTGCTTACTTATGACAGGTATATTTATCTTCTCTTTGCTTCTCTCTCTATGAGCACGTAATCTTGGGTACTACATTTAGTGTTACTGGAAAGACTGCAGTAGAGCTATTGTCGTAAAACCTTGTCAGATCTTATGCAGATAGATATCCCGATCGAAATAAACAAAAACACAGCGATAACAAAGAATTCATATAGCCGACTTTAAATTTGTTGAGAACAAATCAGACTAATAATTGGTTCAAGCTACTGCAGATGCCAGCATTGGAGTTTGCTATGGAACCCTCGGAGACAATTTGCCATCTCCACCACAAGTCATTGCTCTGTGCAATAAGTATAACATAAACAGAATCCGACTCTACAATCCAAACCAAGCAATTCTCCAAGCCCTCAAGGGAAACCTCAGCATTTCAGTCATTGTAGGCATTCCAAATGAAGAACTTCCAGGAATAGCAAGAAATACCTCGACTGCAAAATCATGGGTCCGAAATAATATACTCAATTATGCTAATGTGAATTTCAGGTACATAGCAATCGGAAATGAAATCAGTCCCAGTTCGAATTTGGCACCATATGTAGTCCCCTCCATGCAAAACATTCACAGTGCCATTTCCGCAGCCAGGCTTGGGAACAAAATCAAAGTTTCCACATCCTTAAGTATGGAAGTTCTTGCACAATCGTATCCTCCATCAACAGGGGAGTTCAATTCTGAAATTCTGTCCTCATTTATCACTCCCATTGTTAACTTTCTTGCAAAAAATCAGAGCCCATTGCTTCTGAGCGTGTACCCATATTTTGCTTATAGCAGTAACATGAAGGACATTAGCCTGGCTTACGCACTTTTTACATCTCCTTCGACTGTGGTCAAAGATGGGAATTACGAATACCAAAACCTGTTTGATGCTATGGTGGATGCAACGAACGCAGCATTGGAGAAGACTGGGGGGACTAATGTAGAAATTGTTGTTTCGGAAAGTGGATGGCCTTCTGCTGGTGGAACAGCAACTACTCTTGAGAATGCCCGGATTTATAACTCCAATTTGATTAAACATGTTGAGAAAGGAACCCCAAGAAGGCCTGGAAAGCCTGTAGAAACTTACCTTTTTGACCTGATTGATGAGAATCAGAAAAGCCCGGAACTTGAGAAGCATTGGGGACTCTTTCTTCCTAATCAACAACCTAAATATCCCATGACATTTGATAAAAACACAATGAATGACTAGATAATTTCATAATATATCATCCTTAGTAATTATTAACTAGGAATTTGTATAATGGACTGTTTGCACACATAACAAAGCTTTATCATTTATACATCAAGAATTGGTAAATCTGACTAGAATTGATACAATATACAATTTCAAGCTGTTTTGTGCAGTTTTTCTTTTATTTATGATCACAAATGTACATACTCCCCCACTCCCTATCTGAAGTTTAAATTGACTTATTTATATCATGTCGTGTTTTGGTGGAATACAAAGACGAAAGGACATCAAGAGCTCAAGATGACTTCACTGTGTACGTTGCCATCTTCCATTCTAATCCATGACTTGAGAGAGAATGGCTGCTGATTAATATCTAGAATCCTAGCTCCTCTAGACCAGTTTCCATACCCGCCATAACCAGTATGCCGAGCAAAGCACAGCCACAGCTTCTTATAAGGGCAGCACCAATCTAATCCATGGTTGTGGCCTACAAAAATTGCCTGCCAACATGTACAAACAATATAATTCAATACAGCCCATTTCCATTACAAAAACTGACTGCCACCATCTCAATCCTCCTGTACAAAGCATTGAATGCATATGGGTAACTACCATTCAAACCTATGCACATATGGGTAACTATCATGGCAAACATACAAGCATATATGGGTCTATCTTGTATAGGCTGAAAATCTTTGCAAAAGTCGAGCAGAAAAAAGTTAAAGAACCAACACATAAGAAAATTTTCAAATGTAGCAGGAGATAAAAGGAACAGAACTGTTAGATTTGCTTGAGGAGTATGAAAAGCACATATAATGAGGCAAATCTGATGCAGCACCAATAGGATAATTAATAGAAACAGAAGAAAGATTCAGAAAGAATGGGGAATTAAGGGAGGGGATAGAAGAAGAATTCAATAGAAGAAGGGGAGGGATGCGCCATAAGCCACCAAAATAATTATTCATTCATCATCAACTGTCTCAAATGAGAAACAAAACAGAAATAAATAGCAGAACATAAACCCTAAAGAGAAGGGCTTGGGCCAAACTACTAAACAAGCCCACTAACGAAAACATAAACAATAGTCCAAATAAAATATAACTAATAGTCCAAATAGAAAATAAATAATAAATGGATGTCCGCATCAACTCTCCCGGGGTAGGAGAAAAACTCGACCCCGTCGAGTAGATAAAGTAGAATCTTGCACTGAATCTGATGCGAAAGGCTCCAAGTCATGCTACGGGGGACGATCTTTCTTGATGACCAAATACCGAAACTCCACAAATGATAACAAGGATAGTTGTAGCTTATCCTCAAGGATATGATCCAACCAAGAAGGACGATCTTTCTTTGTAATCACATACCGATACTGAACTCCCAATAGTAAAAATTCATGCCACTCATTTCCAAAATCTTCCTCATTGGTCAACATAACCTGTTTATCTAAAATAGCATCAATTACATCTTTGTGTGCTGTGACATGTGTCATTGGAGTGAGAATGGTAATATATTTAGGTTGGGGATCCACATAAGAAAGTAGAAAATGATCATCAAGGAAATTAAAAAGGCCTTTGTAAGTAACTAAGTCTTCAATATGTAAAGTAGAGAGGTGGCCACAATGTGATGAAAAATTAATGACATGTGCGTATGGACCAACATGCTTTAAAACTTTAAAAGGACTAGCACTATCGGCTTGCAATATAACATAATCCCCAATATGAAATTGAAAATATTGTTTATGCAAATTAGTTTGAAGTTTATATAATGCGTTACTTGCGTGAAGTTGTTTATTGATCTTAATATGCAAGTCATGAAGATGATGTACAAATGCTTCAACTGATATCGACACACTAGCATGTGGGGACATGGAAATAAGGTTTAACGGCCGCCTAGACTTATAACTATGAACAGCTTCAAATGGATTCAAACCTAGAGACCGATTTACAGAATTGTTATACGCAATTTGAACAGTGGGGGGAATCAAGTCCCAATTTCTAAGATTTTTCTGCACTAGAGACTTGAATAAATTGCCAGGACTTTGGTTAACGACTTCATTTTGACCATCAGTTTGAAGTTGGTCAGTAGTGGGGAATGTTGATTTAATGCTAACCACAGGTGACTGGATTCTCCAAGGGTGGCCAGTGAAATCATCAAGCTCTTTGAGTTGTGCAAGGGTATGACATATAACATGTGACCGAGAGTTGTCAGAAACAAGGGATATAGTATCTAAAGTCTCGGGAAGAGTCTGGAGTCCACCTAAAGAAGTGTCCTCACTATCATCCAAGTCATCAAAATCTTCAAGTTTAGGTTCATAGACTAGATCTTCTAATGGCATATCTATTACATTCTTTCGTTCTTCCATGACTAAGGTTCGATTAGTACATTTGGAAGAAATGTGGCCAAAGTCTTTACAGTTGACGCACAACAAGTGAGAAGAAGACCTTGGAGTTTCAGAAATTTTACCCTGATTTTCCAAGATTGGAGAACCATTAGAAGGGGGAGGTCCTAGAAGGGACTTAACGGGAGGTGGAGCCAATGAAGCAAAATGATGATTATAAAAATTTTTATCCTTATTTTCCAAAATTGGAGGAACATCAGATGGGGGTGGTCCTAGAAGGGACTTAACGGGAGGAATTGGAGCCAATGACACCGAAGGATGATTGTCAATATGCTTTCTACATGGAAAAGGAGATTGTGGACTATCACGACCTTTACAATTATTTTTCCAAATAGGAGGAACATTAGACGGAGACGATTTTATGATAGACTTATGATGAGGCGACGCTAATGAGATGGGTGAGCGACGATGACCACGCTTTTCATATGGAGTACTAATAATCAACTCATAATCTCGAGCTAAAGAGTAAGCGTGATTAAAAGTAGTGACACCTCGAAGGAAAAGCTCGCGCTTAAGATCATCTCTCAGACCTTGGCTAAACCTACTCAAAGTCGTACTCTCATCCTCAATTAAATGACATTTGATTCGAAATTCCTCAAATTGCGCAATATACTCAGTCACTAATTGATTTCCTTGTTTAAGGGCATTCCATTGAGTAAGAATTTCAAAATTATCTCGTTCTCGCTCACGAATCTGATCCCTATTCCTATCCCTATCCTTAC